AGTGCCTCCAGTGCTGCCTCACTTTCTTGAAAAATTTCAATTTGTATTCCAACAGTCCCCAGTGCCTTGTTCTTTGCCAGTTCCCTCAATGCACCTTGGACTTCTTCCTTCAGTATCACTGGCTCTTGATCTTATGCTATCCCTTCAAATGGTTGAACATCAACCATTTCCTTTTGCTACAGTGATTCTGTGTATTCCTTCCATCACCATGCAGTTAGTAGTCCAGTGTTTATCTTACAGTGCCACACCAGGACTCAGTTAAATTCCTTGGTAATTGAATATTTACATAAATGATGATATATTCTTACTATAAAATATTATGCACCTGTTTGTTTTGTTTTAAATGAGTTAGATCTGTGTATTTTGACCTGGAAGATTATGTATGATGTAGTGTTTAGTGAGGAATGTAAATTACCCATTTTTATATAATTAGCCCACCAACTGTACATGTACATCACTATAAAATTGTGTGAACATGCAGGAAGGTGTAAATAATAAACCTCAGATTGCTAACACTGGTTACCTGGACAGGGAGAGCAGGGAGGGAAGAGGGTGGTGGTGATGGTGGCAATGGGGAATTTTCCTGTATGTATCTATGGATGGTTTCACTGGTGATTACAAGTATGCTTTTTAATTTTTACAAGGTTATTTAAATTAAAATTAATTTTAATAAAATCATATATATCCAAGAATACAAAATCATTAATGTACCTCAATGCCAGGTGAGCATCTTAAACCTCATTCTTGCCAGTTTAATCCATATCACTGAAACAAACTGCACAGACCTGAACAAAACAATGAACATGGTAACTTAAGAAAATACTGTGACTTATCCACTGGTTTCACAATTAGTCTTTTGGTAATGATTGTATTTATAGTTGAAAGACACCCTGTATTAGTAAAATAAATAAGTGCCTGTTACTTCTTGTAATCATTTTGAGTTCTATGCCAAGCATTTTATGGAAAGGAACACAGGAATTAAGAAACACAGAGAAAGCAATAATTCTTCATCAGATGGGTCCAGTGGTTTCTTAATGAATGGGTGTGTGTGTGCATGTGTGTATGTGAGAGGGGAGTGGGGTTTGTGTGTAGGGAGCTGTCGAACAAGGTATAATCCACTTGTTCTAAATGTAAACCCATTATCTTCTGATGCTGCTGTAATGTGCTGCCATCAAGACATGAACAATTGCTTAGACATGAGTAATGCTTGCCTCTCCCTTTTGCTTCCTTCTTCCCTGAGCACGTCTACGTCTGGTTGCTAACCCTCTCGATTTCACCTCTGGAACGCTCTGCCTTCCTCTGGTTTTGTTGTGTTTTGCCATGACTAAGTAAACTGGAGCCACCACTGCCAAAGAAGCCCAGATTCCTTTGCCAAGTGTTTCAGGCCCTTCACATCCGGCTCCTTCTAGCTTCCTGCCCCTTTCTCCACCCGTCACATTCCGCTCAATTCAATGCTGGGGAAGGTATTTTTCAGCCTGGAGCATCTCAACACCGCCCAGGACGTACCCTACACCGTAGGCCCCAAAAGGCGGAAGTGCTTGGAGCTTGAGGGGCGGGCCAGGCGGGGGGAGGGGCTTGTCCTGGCCAATGGAGGAGCTGAGTGCAAGGCCAAGTGGTCACGTGTCATTGGGCGTGACCTTGCCCCGAGAGGACGGTGGGAGGCAATTTTACCTCAGGTACAATCCCTCGAAAGCCGGTGAAGAGACGGTAGGGTTGTGTTTTTGACACCTAGGGAAAGAAAAGCTATGAAAGGGACAGAAGTATGGCAGCTCCGAAATCTCTAGAAAATAGATTTGTTTGGCCCAGCCATTGTGGCACCGAGAAGACAAAACCCCAGAACTAACGTCCATTTAACCTGTCGCTAAGTGCCGTCGAGTCGGTTCCCACTCAAAGCGACACTGTAAAGGGTTTCCAGGGAGCCAGCTGGTGGCGTTGAACTGTCGACGTTTGAAATGCCAACGTTGTGATTTGAGGGCCAGTGCTGATCCTACTGCACTAACCCAGGAGTTCTAATTAGCCCTAACTAGAGGGTGGGAAAGGCACAGGAGGAACCTATGTGATTTCAGTATTAAAATGGGTGACGGGGGTGAGAGGGGTGCCTTAGGCTGCTGGATGATGAGAAACAGGCCCGAAGTTTTACACTTATGTTGTTTAAATGCATGCAGTTGATTCCTATTCATATCCTTGTATAGGCTTTCCGAGTTACAGCTGATTGGTTTGAACCGCAGACCTTGTGGTTACCAGTCCAGTGCTTGTCTAATTAGGTCCTTTCAGAAAGTTTGCTTGCCCTGTTGTGTGCATAAAGTCTGAACTAATTTTTGTGTGTTTGGGCCCATCGGTAGAGCTCAGGAGGTAGCATATGAAAACAAAGACCTTAGAAGCAGGTAAGGTGGAAAAAATATATATGTGTTATATTGGGAAATGCCAAATTCAAAAGGTAATATTTAAATACCTTCTCACTGACCATGATTTTGCCTTTTTTCCTGTGCCTTGGATTTTAGAAATAAGGCTAATTAAGCTCTCTTTCCATACACCTGTTGCTCTAAGATGGAATCAGGTATTTTTTAATACAATGAAATAAAACTCACAAATAAAAGAAATCCTATGAATGTAGGAATACTATATTATTTAACCATAAATATTTAGCACAATATATAAATAATTGACTTCAATATAACATTATTTTTTAAGGTTGGTGATGAGAAGAATGGAACCCAAGCTGATACAAATATTGCTGTAGTTAAGTTCCATCGAGTCAGTTCCTACTCATAGGGACCCTGTTTAGGGTTTCTGAGGAGCGGCTGGTGAGTTTGGACCACCGACCTTGTGGTTCAAACTGACCCTGTGGTCCAGTGCATTATTCTGCAGCACCACACATATTTAAACTTCATGAAAAAGGAAATTTTAAATGCTGACAATAAATTGTCTGAATGGGTAAACTAGTATAGTTACTTTTAACTTTTTGAAATGACTTCTAGAATGAGGACGATGAGATAATTTCTTGTGAAACAGCAATGCCAAGAAATGAACTTAGATAATATTTGCTTCAAAAATCAGCAGTGCACTGTATTTGTTATGTGCTGTCGAGTCGATTCCAATTCAGCAAACCTGTACAGGATTTCTGAAGAGCAACTGGTGGGTTTGAGCCACCAACCTTGTGGTTTTCAGTCCAGTGCTTATCCTACAGGACTACACCAGTAGTCCAAAGCACTGTATAGAAAAGGTTTATTAGTGCAAGGATAAGAATTCTCCTCAGAGATGGAATCACCAGTACCACCCACTACCTGTCTGTCAGTTTGTCATATGATAGTGATTTTGTGTTGCTGTGATGCAAGAAGCTATGCTGCCAGTATTTCAAATACCAGTAAGGTAACCCATTGTAAATAGGTTTCAGTGGAGGTTCCAGATTAAGACAGACTAGGAAGTAAGACCTTTCAAAAGTTAGTCAATGAATAGTGCATAATTTAAATAGAATAGTGTTTATTGTAATGTGGAAGATGAGCCCTGTAGGTTAGAAAGTACTACTCAGTCACAACAATAGATTTGAACATAACTAAAGATCATGAAGATAGTATAGGACTAGGCAACATCTCCTTTTGTTGTACCTAAGGTCATCATGATTGAAGTTGATAGTAACTAATAACAGAAGCAATAATTACCAGTGAGAAAATGCTGTTTTGGCATTAAGTAAAAGTGGAACTTCTTATGTACCACTGTAGGATTAGTTCTGGACTGCAAACCACAAGGTCTGCAGTTCAAACCCACTATCTGCTTCTCAGAAACCCTGTACAGGGTCACTCTGAGTCAGAATCTACTCGATGGCACTTAACAACAACAAGAAGTAAAAGTGAAAGAGGGTGGCACAATATATTCTGCATATTTGTTGGTGCCACAGAATCTAACAATATTAAAATAATCCAGAATACTGTAGGGTTTATTTTAATTGGAAAATTTACTAAGTCTTCTGAGCCGTTAATAAAATAATTGTTTTCTGAGTTATTTACGAAATTTACTGTTAGTTTTTTAAATTAAGTTAAGCTAGAAGTTGACTAGCTAACAATGCTAACTTGAAGATAATTAAATATAGGAATAAATTCATAGCCTATTCATATAGACAGGATCATCAGGTTTTTTGGTCCAATGTCACATTAAAGAAATAGGTAAACTTCAAGTAAATGTAAAATAATAAAATGAAACTAAGGCAAGACCCTATGGGTTAAAATGTGTATTGGATTGACTAAAAATTAAAAACTATACAAACTTCTACCTTACGTCTGAATTCCCAATGTAGTGTTTTAAATGTTTCATTAAAATACTACATCTGATATAAATATATGTAAAATATAAAGTAACTTTTCTAAACTGTAATTCCTGTGGTTCTCACATAAATTAGAAACATCCCAGATTAATTCAGCAGTGTAAATTTTACTTACTGCTTCCTTAGATGAATTTACCAATAATTGACCTAGGAGTACTGTATCATAGTTGCTTTATTCCAAATAAGCTAGCTCTTAGGGAATTCTAACTTCAGCCTTTTATAATTATAAATAAGAGAGAGGAAACAATTTCCAAAATTTGTTTCCTCTCTCTTATTTATAATTGTACTCTACTCCACTGTTTCAGCAGAGTTTTGCCATTGGCTATGCAATTTTAAAACCACCTAAGGAACATGGTTATCCTGAGAAAACTACTCTACCAGTCTTAATAACTCCTGCCATATATTTCAACCTACAATTGCATGTATGGATTAAGCAAAATGAGAAAATGTATGAACAGTTTTTATATTACGGTATATTATTTTCATATTAACTTTAAAATGATAAAGAATGTTATTTTATAGTTAATCATTCAGAATCTTTTTTTTTTTTTTTCAAGAATAAACCAAAACTTTGTGATTGAGGGAGGTTTTATGCTTATGGATGTGTTATTATACCTATATGTCATTTTCATTTTTATATTTCTAGTTGTTGAAGTTTATACTGCTTTCAAAGAAAGAAGCTATGTTTTCTCCAATCAAATACCATGCAATAGATTATTTATATGAGGTAGAGTATTTTTGTTTTACTGCCTATTTGCTAAGGATGCAAAGATATAGAAAGCAAAAATTAAGGTAGCCACACTATACTATCAACTGAAAAAAGCACATTATTAAATGATATACATATAAATGAGATCTCATTTTCTGTCAGTCTCACACATACACACATGAACACACTCACACAATAGATATTTTAACTTAACCTAGAAAAAAATCTGTTGAAAATATGTCAAACACTTAACTTTTATTATAACTAAAAATTAAGAAAGAAACAATTTTACTGATTATCTCTGGGGGATTAGTTACTTGGGATCATACCTTGACTTAGTTATTTGATTCTATGTTATTTGATAATTTACAATAAGCTTATAGCAGTTTTTTTTTCATGTTTTATTGTGAATTATATGATATTTTACATGAGAGAACTTTAGTTTTACATTCATTCCATCGTATATCGTCTCATTGCCATGGGTCCAATCCCCTCCATACATCATCAACCGACCAAAGGGTATATATACCCTATAAACCCACCCCCTACTCTCCCCTCCCATATTAGTTTTAAAGAAAAAATTCATATAAGTTTGAAAGAATATAAAATTTTACTAGTCTGAATATTAATCCATAAATATGTATGACAAAATAATTTAATTTTTTTTGGACACAGAATATAGTTAGAAAGAGGCTTTCCAGAGATGCTTTGTTGCTTCAAATCCCTTCATGTTTTTATCAAGATGAAAATTATGAAGGAGTTGCCAATGATAGATTTCAGAAGCCATGGACGAGAGGTATATTTGTTTTTCATTCCTCAAAAAAATCTATTTTAAAAATCATTTCATTGTAACAAAACTTTAATATTATATATATGTAATATACTATATATTGCAAGGTTGGTGGTTCAAGCTCACCAGTCACTCCTCAGAAACCCTATACAGGGTTGTTATGGGTTGGAACCAACTCAACGGCACTTAATAACAACAACATATATATATGTGTGTGTGTGTATATGTATTTTTTTAAAAGAGCAGGCTTACTGGTCAGAGGAACCCTGAGACTTTGGCCCTTGGTCACCCTTCAGGTCTGGAACTGAACTTATCCTAGTGACTCAATTTTCATCCAAGCAGTTGATAGGGGAACAACAACATTAGTGAGGTTTGTACACTATAGGATGGTCAACTATTAGAGATCAAAAGGGCAACAGTTACCCAAGAACAAAATTCAGAAGGATTGGGAAAGAAGGAGGAATGGTAACAAGAATCACAGGGACAAAGTGGAATAAGTGATGTAGCACTGAGGGGATTGCAATCAGTAAAATGAAATGAAATATATGATTTGTTGATTATAGAACTGATACTCTGTAAACCTTCACTCGGTTCACAATAACAAGTTTAATTTTTTAAAATAGATTAGCTTGATAAATTGCTAATACAGTGTTTTCCTCATGAAATTTATTTATATTCATTCATATCAGAATTTATTTTACAAGTTAATATTTATTAGTAGAAAAAGTAATGGAAAAACTTTTACAAAAGAGTAGATTTCCAAATAAAATATACATATATGATGAAGTCTTAAAATATTTATTGCTTTATAATAGGATCTTGCCAAGACTGTATTTAAACTGTAGTGATGTTGTTATTGTTGTTGTTATGTGCCATGGAGTCGGTTCCGACTCATAGTGACCCTATACAGGGTTTCCAAGGCTGTAAATCTTTACAGGAGCAGAAAGCCTCATCTTTCTCCCGCGGAACAACTGGTAGTTTCGAACTGCTGCCATTGCAGTTTGCAGCCCAATTTGTAACCACTATGCTACCAGAGTAAATTTAAAATTATTTTTAAATGTATATGTATAAAATATTAATTTTCACTTTTATTAAGTCATGGGCATAGGAAAGAGGGAGCCTCCTTAGAGGAGTCAAGTCAGTTAATATTAGTATAAGGAAGACTGTAGAAGAATTGATGCATTTGAGTTATGGTGTTAGAGAAGAATATTAAAGTACGATGGACTGCTAGAAGAACAAACAAATCTATGTGGGATGAAGTACAGCCAGAATACTCCTTAGAAGCCAGAATGGTAAAACTTTTTCTCTCATACTTTGGCCATGTTGTCAGGAGAGACCAGTCCCTAGAGAATCACATTATGTTTGGTAAAGTGGAGGGTCAGCAAAAAAGAGGAAGCTCGCCAGGGAGATGGATTGACACAATGAGCTCAAGTGTAATAACAATTGTGGGGATGTCACAGGACTGGGCTGTGTTTTATTCTGTTGTGCATAAAGTTCCTATGAGTTGAAATCAACTTGACAGCACCTAACAACATGTACCAGGTACTAATATAGGTGCTAAGGACACAGTTGCTAATTAGTCATAGAAATCATCTCTTTTATCATAGTCTTTATATTAGTAAGCGGGGAGTTAACAATAAAACCATTGAATATATAAGCTAATATCTTGCATTGATAATTGTATGTTGTTGTTAAGTGCCACCTAAATGATTCCAGTTGGCATTCAAGTTCAGACCCTAAAGATGAAAAGATAGTAATCAGAAAAAGAAAGGGACGACAGGGGGAGGGAAAAGCCCTTCAAGTAGATCCAGGCTTCCTGACTCAAAAATGAACTTGATTTGTGTGATGATATGAAAATTGGGCCATTCTGATTGGAGGGTAATGAAAAAAGGGAGATCTGTGAAGTAAGCAGTTGCTGAATTGTATAAGGATTTGTAAACTGTGGTATGAATATTTATGTATAAACTTTTATTGTGGCTGAGAGGGTAGTCATTAGATGATTTAAAGCAAGAGTATAATATAAAAAATAATAATAAAAAAAGAGTATAATATAATGTGATTTGTGTTTTAGAGCGATCATTCTGTGATGAACGACAATGAAAGCAGTGGAAACTGGGAGGAAAGAGTAGAGATAAGTAGATCAATGAAGAAACTATTACAACCATCTAGAATCTAGACTACTAGATGAATTTGTTGTTGTTGTTGTTAAGTGCTGTTGAGTCAGTTCTAACCCATAGTAACCCTGTATAGGGCTTCCAAGGAGCAGCTGGTGAGGTTTAGATAAAAGATGATAGTGACTTAGAGTAGGCTCATATATAGTAATGGCTGTGTGAGAAGTAGTTAAAATTGGGATTATTTTAGAAATCCAGCTAACAGTGCAAGGGTTAAAAAACAAAATGGTATGGGGAATAAAGAACGTTTCCTAGGTTTTTGAACTGAACAACTGGTAGAAGGCATTGCCATTTCCCCAAATAGAGAAAACCTTATGGAGAAAAGATGTGGTAGGACTTAATAGTTCTGCTTTGACCGGTTTAAAATGCTTCCTACGCATCTAAATAGAAATGTTAAGGAGGCAGATTGGAGTTTATATTGAAGTAACATATAAATTGAACATAAAATCATGAAACTGGATGAAGTTGACAAGAACATAAGTAGAGAGCATAGACCAGAGTGCCTAGGACAGAGCCCCAGAGCACTACAACAGTTACTGGTCTGATAGAGACAGATGATCTTTCTATCAATTCTTTTATATTTTAGACTTTAAGACAAAAAATACTTATTAAATACAAAGATTTCCTATGATGAAAGTGTCAATACATTAGGAAGACATGACATTTATACCAACATATGCACCTGATAAAAGAGCATCAAACCCACTAAAAAAAAAAAATGAAACTAAACAGAATTGAAAGAAGAAATACACAATTCAGCATTTTAAGCTGAAAATTTCAATATCACACTCTCAATAATTGATAACCCTGGATAATAAATCATTAAAATTTTAGAATACTTGGACAGTTTTCTCCGCTAACTAAAAGAGAACACACCACCCCAAAACAGCATAATCCACATTCTTTTCAAGCCTACATGAAACATTCATTAAAATAGACCATATTTTTATTGTTGGTAGGTGTGATTGAGTTGGTTCCAATTCATAGGGACCATGTGCACAACAGAACAAGACACTGCCCAATTCTGTGCCATCCTCACATCTGTTACATTTAAGCCCATTGCTGCTGCCAGTGTATTAATCCATCTCTGTGAGGTCCTTCCTCTTTTTTGCTGATGCTTCACATTTCCAAGTATGATGTGCTTCTCAAGGGACTGGTCCCTCTTGATAATATGCCCAAAGTATGTGAAACAAAGCCTTGTCATCCTCATGTCTAAGGAAGATTCTGACTGTATTTCTTCTAAGACAGATTGGTATGTTCTTCCAGCAGTCCATGGTATTGTCAGTATTCTTCACCAACACCATAACTCAAATGCATCAATTCTTTGATGCTCTTTATTATTCATTGTTCAACTTTCAAATGTATATGAAACTTTTGAAAATACCATGGTTTGGGTCAGGCTCACCTTAGTCCTCACAGTGACATCTTTGTTCTTGAACACTTTAAAGAGGTCTTGTGCAGCAGATATGCCCAATGCAATGTGTCATTTGATTTCTTGACTGCTGCTTGCATGAGTGTTGATTGTGAATCCAAGTGAAATGAAGTATTTGAGAACTTAAATCTATTTGTCATGATACTATTTATTGGTCCAGTTGTGAGGATTTTTGTTTTCTTTACAATGAGATTCAATCCATACTGAAGGCTGTAGTCTTTGACCATCATCATTAAGTATTTTAAATCCTCTTTGCTTCAAGAAAGCAGGATTGTGTCATCTGCAGATTGCTGGGTGGTGTCTGCACTGGGAGTGCTCTCTTGTTCCTATTTCTGTACACTCCCTTTCATGAAGACAGTGGTGTACACCAGCCAACCCAGAATAAAAGTCACCTCCTTTCTTGTTCCTATTCCAAATCCTCCTGGTAAGCACTCAGACCACCAATTTATCACTTTATCTGAAGTTCAGAATTCTGGGACAGTTCTTCAAATCTGTTTCTCTTTGGGTTTCCATGCTTTCACTGAATCTACATGGCCTCTCTGCCTAGCCCACCATCAAGACCTGCCTCTCTGTATCAATCCTTTGAAGGTACCTAATTGTCGTTCTTTTGAATTCTTTTCAGTTAGTTCTGTTACCTTTTCTTCTGGCTCTGCATCTTGATCATTAGCGTGAGCCATTCTGTCTTGTTTCTTTGTGTGAGCTAAAATTGTCTATTGTCTCTGGGACATTGTGAGGTAGTCATATTTGTAAAAGCAAACAGGCAGTTGTTGGACCTGGAGCAGAGAAATCTCTGGGTGGCTCCTGCATTTCAAGGAGCTCAGGAGGTGGTGTGGAAGAGACATGAAAGCAGAGTTCCTGGCCCTAGATGGAGTTCCTTTTGGTCTTGTTATCTATGTTCAGGACACTCAATCCTCAAGTACTTATGGGGACCCTTGATGAAACTGGTTTCAGTGTCAGGACTGCAAGGAAGCTGGAGAGAACATGACTGGTTAAATGCTGGTCTGGTAGTCTGCAGGTTTTTGTAGGTCTGTTACTAAGCCCACCTGAATCCAGGAACCAAAGTGGTACACCAAAGTGGCACAACCAGCCCCTGCCTCACGCTTGCAAGGCTCCCAACCACGTGACTCTGAATTCCCAGAGAGCAGGGGCTGTGCTAGGGGTAGAAAAGAGTAGGAGCTGGCCACACTTCTGGTCACCAAGAGTGTGTGGGGGGAAAAAGATTAAATCACACCTTTTCTGTCACCTGCGTGAATCTGCTAGGCCTTCCTACACTGACAGACTGTTCACAAGGTGGTTGAGCTATGTCTGGCCAGCTGTTCACCAATCTCCCTCTCTCGCCATCCCTGCTTGGTCTCTCCTCCCAAAAAATCAGTGCATTCACCTCTCTAACCTTTCTTCCTGTGTTCAGGGTGCCAGAATTTTCATGTCTTTTTTATTTTGTCTCTCATGCCTTTGTTGTAGAGGGTTCATGTGGTGCATCTGTCTAGTTCGCCATCTTGCTGGAAGACTCTCTACTAGTAGACAATATTTCTACTAGAACCCCTTTACATTATTTTAAATACCAAATGTTACAGTTGAAAGTAAATACAACAAAACAATAACTTCATATATGTGCTGAGTTGCTGGATTCTGGACAAGCACATATAGGATGTTTCTGGATGTTCACTTGGAAGGGTCTAACTAATGACTACCCCTTTATATTTGCCAGTAGCCCAGTTTTACATTATATATATTTGAATGAATTATAAAAAATTACAACCCACTACATTTAGACATTTATAAATCCCAAGTAAACTGCACTGAGTACTTTTTTCAAATCTGGGTTTTGGTAATACGAGCTACTGAACAAACTTACTGTTACAGCCTTTTGTGTTTCATCTAAATCCCATTTTTAGATCTGAACCAATTTTATTCTTCATAAAGATCATATTTTCTTTTCTTCTGTTACATCTCTTAAAACAAGTGATCTGCTCCCTAAAAACCAGAAATTTGAAAAGGCTTCCCACTGTAGAAACAGAACAGTCAAAAGTGTAAATTAGATTAAGTGGCTTCTTCTTTCTTAGGTCAATAATTATAATGCAGGACTTATTTTCCTGATGAACAGGGTATGTGTATGTAGGTAAATGTATCAAAATTAGCTTATAGAAAAGTTAAAAATGTCGTTTTCTGAAAGATATTTATCTTCACACAGAGTAAACAATGCAATATAGAAGTTTAAACAAATGTAGATGTTTTAAAAACTGACAATATATAAAAAGCTGAAATCACTGCCTTGGATAATTTATATACTGCATCCTGTATTTTATGTAGGACATGCATTCTTAATGTAGAAGAATCTAATTTTACGTCTAATGACTTGATTCTTATTTTACATATAATGTCTTGATTCTTACATCTAAGGGTAAAACTGTTGTTCTTAATGTTATTGTTGTTGTTGTTGTTGTCAGGTGCCATCAAATCAGTACCAACTAACAGCAACCCTATGCACAACAAAGCATAACACTGCCTGGTCCTGGGCTAACCTCACAATTGCTGCCACGCTCGAGCCCAGTGATGCTGCCACTTTGCCAGTCCATCTCACTGGGGGTCTTCCTTTTTTTTCTCTGACCTTCCATCTTACCAAACATGATATCCCTCTCCAGTGACTGGTCCCTCCTGATAATATGTCTGAGTGTGAGAGATGAAGTCTGGCCATCCTGGCTTCCAAGGAGCACTCTGGCTGTACTTCTCCCAACATAGATATGTTGGTTCTTTTGGTAGTCCATGGGGTACTTTCAATATTCTCCTTCAACACCATAACTCAAATGCATCAATTCTTCTACGATATTCCTTACTCACTGTCCAACTTTCGCAGATATATGAATGTTATTGAAAATACCATGGGTGAGTCAGGCATGCCTTAGTCCTCAAGCTGATGTCTTTGCTCTTCAACACTTTAAAAAAGTCTTGTGGAGCAGATTTGCCTAGTGCAGTATATCATTTGATTTCTTGACTGCTGCTTCCATGAGTGTTGATGGCTGATCCAAGAAAAATGAAGTCTTTGACAACTTGAATCTTTTGTCCATTGATAAGAATTTTGTTTATTGGTCCAGTGGTGAGAATTTTTGTTTTCTTTACATTGAGATGCAATCCATACCAAAGACTATGGTCTTTGATCTTCATCAGTAAGTATTTTAAGTCCTCTTCATTTTCAACAAGCAAGGTTGTATCATCTGCATATTGCAGTTTGTTATTGAGTCTTCCTCCAATCCTGATGCCACATTTTTCTTTATATAATCCTGAATATCTTAAAATTAGGAAAGGTGTGCCATAAGGTTGTGTTCTTTCACAATTCTTAATGTTGTTGTTGTTGTTGTTAGATCTTTTTAAAAGAAATTGTTGTTGTTAAATGTTGTTAAGTCAGTTCCAACTCACAGTGACCCTGTATAGGGTTTCCTAGGAGCAACTGGTGAGCTTGAGCCACCGACTTTGAGGTTCAAACTGACCTTGCAGTCCAATGCTTTATCCCACTCCAGGACTTCAAAAAGAATAATTAAGGGTGATCATTTAAATATTTGGAATTAGGAATCATTGTAGAAAAAAATTACATCTGTGAACAAATAAAGATAACACCATAATGTAAAAGGTGAATGGCTTGCTTTTATTAAGTGGAAATAAAATTTTAGAGCCTTATATTTACCATTCTACTTTCTAGTCTCAGCTATTCCAGTTCAGGAAATGACCGATACCTCAGTCTTGGATCAATGGAAAGCAAATCTCTTTGTGGAGGACTTCCTTGAGAAGTATGTGTCTTTAATCTCAAATTCCTACTTGAAAGAAACAAATAACCAGTTAAATGTATCCAGATTATAGGTACACAGAAACCCAATATACCATTTCTTCCTTTAAGAAATTTAAAAGTCAGTAGAATGATCTGGAGGACCAGATATGATCCAAAGGTGCAGATATTGATATTAAGTTGACATCACAATAGGAATATACGCTTTACCTCATCTTTTATATTTTTAAGGAACATATTTTGAGAAAACTATTAGATCAATGCACAAAGATACTCCTTGCATTGTTGTCCATGTTGCAAAAAGCTACATAAAACTTAAATTTCTAGCAATAGGGAACTGGTCAAATAAATTATGATTTATCAATACAATAGGATTCTGTTCATCCATTAAAAATGATGTGACTTCACATTGATTTACATGTAAATATGCTCATGTTTCATTGGATAGCAGACAAGAGCGAGTTACAGAATCTTATATATGTGAACCTACTTATATTAAAAAATGTTGATAAATTTGCGTAATTTTTACTTTCAACTCTGCAGTGATGTTTTTCTGTTGGAATTTGTTAAACAAATGCTATTTCTTATAAAAAATGTTTTTAAAAGGACATACGTAAAATCAGTTATGTATAATGTTATAGGAAAACAGTTACAAGGATGCAGACCCTAAATAATTGTGAATTTGAGGAAATTGTTCCAAGTTCAAACCCAAATTCCCAAATTGAAATGGAGGAAGCCAGTTTATATAACTATGAAGATTACAGTGAAGCATTTACACCTGTCAGCTATTTAGAAAAATGTCTAACACTTCAAACACAGAACCAAGGTAAAGCATTTATTATTTCTATTGTTATAAAATGTTTTTTACTAATAATACAGATCTTCATTTCAGTGAGTTTTTTATTTAATTGAATTTCATGTTTGAAAACTCTTAATTCTGTTTCACATTTAATTGATAGTTTTGATAGTCTTAGAAATTTAGGTTGGAAATTATTTTTTTTCTCAGAATTTTAAGACTTTACTCCATGTTATTTTAATGTCAAGTATTATTGTTGAGAAGTCTAATGCCATTCTGACTTCTAAGTACTTTTACATGTTCTTTACACACTGTAAACGTCTACAATTATTTTTCTTCCAGTCTTCTGAAATTTCACAGTAGTGTGAATTGTTGGGGCCTATGTTCTTCTTCTAGGTTGAGCATGCAATGTACCCTTTTGATCTAGATCCTTGTGCACTTCAATTTTTGAAACATTTTCTTGAGTTATTTCTTTGATTTATTCCTTCACTCATTTTTCCCCTGCTCTCATTTTCTGAATCTCCTATTACTCACTTATTGAGCTCTTATTAGTGTCTTTAAATAAAGTTTAAAATTTTTCTTCAGAAACAAGATACATATTTTTATTTGATTCATTCTAAGGAGGACTTTATTTTAGTTACCATTATTAATATATTTATTAATCAAGTTTTCTGTTTGTTGCTTGTGTTAGAAAAGACGACTGATTTTTATATTGCTATTTTATCCACCCACCTTTCTAAACTCAAGGACAGTATTATTATGCAAATAACATGTGCCTTCTATTGTTTGTTTGTTTGTTTGTTTTTGCTAACTACTCCCTCCTCTTGTGAGGTATTTTGTAAATGTGCTATTCTAATTTTTTTTGCAGCAATATGTAAAAAAAAAAATTGGTATAGTTACACTTAAGAAAATACCTCCTGGGGGAAGCAAGCAGTTGATAAACATACATAGAAAGCACATGCTATTTGCACAAAAATACAGTAATTAATTCTGATAATTCTTCTTTTACAAAAATTTAATTCTTTTATTGTCTTAGAATGCTGTCTAAGGCTCCCAATATATTGTTCAATAGAAGCCATGATAGTTACCATTCTTGTCTTTCATACAATAGAGAAAATATGTCTAACGCTTTACCATTAAAAGAGTTTGCGTTATTTTTTAGATGTTTACATCATTTTCTTTTTTAAAACACTTTTATTGTGAATTGAGTGTAAGTTTACAGAGAAAACAATCAGTTGTTTTTTAAAAAGCTTGTATTGTGAATTGAGTGATAGTTTACATGGGAAAACATCGGTTTTGTACTCATCATATCATATTTCGTTTTATTGCAATGATTACAATCCCGTCTGTGCATCATCATTCAACATTATTTGCTTATATTCCCTGGTTTTTTGTGTTTTGATTTGTTTTGATGTGCACAAAAAACACTCAGGAATATATAATCATTTAAACAACCAAAGGGCACATTCTGTAAGCCTGTCTCCTGGCTTCCAGCACACAGCCATTTTCTTTCCATGAGTCTAGAGTCCTCAACTGCTGTCTCTTCCTGTCATCATCTCTGCCTCCATCTCTGGTGTCACTGCTTCTCTGGATAGGGTCCAACATACCACTCATACTCTTCTCCCTTGATGGTTCTAGGGTTCTCTGTTCCTGGAATGTAAGATTAACTACTATCCCTTTTATGTTACAAAACTTCTACCTTTACAGTTGTGACTATCACAATTAGTCATAATAACAGTAACTCACTATTGAATCATAAGAATCTTATCCCCATCCTTTCACCAACCCTGTGTAGACAAGATGAAAATCATTCGGTGGGGATTTGACCTTCCCCCTACACTCTGAAACTAAACTCCCTCTTGAAACCAGCTACTTTGTACCTGGTTTATAGTCTCCCACGCCCCCATTTTATGTAGGCAACATCTAAGTTGCCCATCCCTGTCAACTCTATTTATAGAGGGGATATGTTTGATCCTTGATGTGAAGATTCCTTCCCTCTCAGTTGGTATTTTGAGCTACTACAAAGGAGCTCTGGTAGTTTAGTGATTACAAATCAGGCTGTGAACCTTAAGGTCAGCAGTTCAAAACTACCAGCTGTTCCGCTGGAGAAAGATGAGGCTTTCTGCTCCCGTAAAGATTTATAGCCTCAGAAGCCCTGTGCAGGGTTGCTATGAGTTGGAACCGACTCCACGGCACATAACCACCACCACCACCACATCCGTAAGTATAAGTCAGACTCATCAAATTATAGCAATTTATACTTGTTTTCTTTATTACATTTCTTTTATTTTTCTCTAGTCGTGTTCTGATCATCAAGTCATCAAAGCTAGGTCAAATGGGTACTGTCTGCAAGGTTGGGCATTTATGTGCATCTCCCCTTACTTCATATCAGCTGGATGCTTCACTCTTGGCTCTAGCCCTCTGTGACTAGGCCCTTGTCCATGGGCTTAGGAGTCCTCAGGTCTCATCACACTTCGGACCAGCCAGCCCTTCCTCTTCTCTCTCTCTCATCTCCAGGTCAGTGGGAGTCAAACTCAACCCATATCTTCATTGCTGCCTTTCCCCCACTTCCAGTGTAGAACAAGGTGGTTGCCAGCAAGCTTACGTGCCTGCTTGCGTGTTGCTTTTGAGTTTCAGTCTTGGAGGAGGGGTTGTCCTGAAGGGACTTGATTTCTTGCTTTGATGGCTCCCTGGGGAACAACTTGCTTGTTCTTGTAGTAACCAATCAGACTGCCATTTTTGTTTTTTATTTTTCCTGCTTCAGACCATCAGTTTTACATTCAACAAGCCATGTATTTTGCTTCATTTACAATGATTGCAATCCCCTCCATGCACCAACAGTTAACAATATTTACCTCTATTCACTTTAACTATATTGCATTCTTCCCTGTCTCCCACTACCTTCATTTTTCCTCTGCTAACCTCCTTCACATTTTATGTTGTCCAGTTGCCATAGATTGTTTCTTTTATCAAGAAAACCTTTCCTTAACTTTTTACAACATTGATCTCATACAATCTTTGCTCTTTGTAATTGACTAGTTTCACTCAATGTAATGTCCTCCATGTTCATCCATGTTGTGAGTTGTTTTGCAGATTCATTGTTATTCTTCAACATTGCATAGAATTCCACTGTGTGTATGTTCTAAAGTTTGTTTGACCATTCTTATGTTGATGGCATTTAGGCTGTCTCCATCTTTTTAATGTGTCACTTATAGACAGCATATTGAAGGATACTGTTTTCTTATCCATTCTGCTCTCTCTGTCTCTTGACTAGTGCATATAACCCATTTACATTCAGTGTAATGATTGATAGGTACGAATTGGTTGCTGTCATTTTGCTGTGTGTGTTTTTTGGTGCTGTTATTTTCTTTGTTCCACAGAAGTTTTCTGTACTGAATTAATTTTGATTGTGGGTTTTCTTTTTCATTTCTGTTATGTTAATGTTTACTAAATCTTTCTGATTTTCCTCTTTCTTTATTTTGATGTGTGGTGGTGGTGGTGTGACGTGGAGTCAGTTCCGACTCATAGCGACCCTGTTACAGGGTTTCCGAGGCTGTAAATCTTTACAGTAGCAGAAAGCCTTATCTTCTGCATGTGTAGGTGTATTAATTTTCTGTGAGGTTACCCTGTAATTTATTTAAAATTGTCCTTGTTTTATCTTGAAATCTATTTGACTTCCTTGCCATTTGGAAGTTCTCTATCTACACTATTCCCTTTTTTTGCTTTGTAGTTGACTTCATTATACATTGATATCTCTGGTTCCCTATCTTCAATCTTATAGAATTGTTTACTTTGGAGACTTCTATATCTGGATTGAGTCCTGGGTGATGTTGTGATGTATGGTAATCTCAAGTTGTTGTCCACTGTTGTTGGTTCTCAGCCCAAAGAGCACCTATAATAATTTTTTTTGTAAATTGTTCTGGTCGTTAAAAAAATCCTTTAATTTCTGTTTGTCAGGAAATGTCCAAATTTCACCATCATACTTGACAGCTTTGATTGGTATATGGTTCTTGGTTAGCAATTTTTTTCTTCCAAAGTTTTGTGTATGTTATTCCTTTGCCTTCTTGCTATCATGGTTTCTAAAAGCAGAGTTTAGTCTTATTGGTTCTCCTTTGTAGGAAACTTTTTGTTTTTCCTGAACTGTTCTCAGGATTCTTTTCTTGTCTTTGGTTTTGGGAAGTTGATTATAATAGGTCTTCATGATTTTATTTTGGGTTCTATACTGTTTGGGGTTAATTCAGCTTCTTGTATGCTTATATTCTCATTTTCATGATATTAGGGAAGTTTTCTTCCAACAACTCTTCAACATTTTTTCTATGCTTTTTGTTATCCATGTTTTGGAATTCCAATCACCCATAAGTTGTTCCTTTTCATCATGTCCCACTTAACTCTTAGGCTTTCTTGGAATTTTTCCATTCTTTTTTCTTGTTGTTCTTCTAGCATACTAATTGAGAGATTTATCTTCAAGCTCACTAATTCAGATTTCATTTGCTCCAAATATGTGCGTTTATTTTTCAATGTATTGTCCATTTCTGAAAAATTAATATAAATCTTCTGAATTTCGAGTTGAAGGTTTTGTATTGTTTAAAAACTGCATTTGTTTTGTTTGTTTGTTCTTGTAGTGGTTTCCTGAATTCTTCTAAAATTTTGTCTGTGTTCATCTTGCTCTCTTCAATTTTTCTGTCAATCCTTTGAAGGTACCTAAATATAATTCTTTTGAATTCTTTTTCAGTTAGTTTCATTACCCTCTATTCCTCAGAAACATTTTCTAGGGAATAAAAAGAAAAGGAGGAGAAAGAATAAACAAACGTAAATTATATTTAATTTATGATGGTATGTTGATGTGTTCTCACACTATCTCCAACTGTCTCCTGTGGGTATAGTTAGAGAATGAAAGTATGTATACCATTTTCATTGACTGTTCATGCATCTCAGTTTAAAGTGGGTTTGGCTAGTGTTGGCTGCTGTTGATCATTCAGCAGATAATATAGAAACTGGTATTGGCTTTTGCCCAGTGGGTAATACTGCAA